CTGATTACTATGAGGTAGAAATTAATCACTGTCTATGTAGACCTGCTCACAAACAGTTTAGGCCGAACCGTTCTCTGATCTTACGCCTAAATATTCAGTCAACTAATGCTTAAAATTGAAGAAATCTTTTTCACTTTTTATAGTGTCAGGAAGTGTATTAAAGTACATGGACAGTGATTGGTTTTTATGGTAGGTAATAGGTATATAACGGGCAGTGTTAATCATGTAATGTAGAGTTGGTACAGCTCGTCCCTCTTTTGGTGTGCTGCGGCATTTAGCCTGGGTCAGGTTAGTTAGTCCAGTTTAACTTAAACTCTTAAAATGAGGATACAAATACAAATTGACATTTTTGTAAATTTAGCTCTTTAAGAAATTACACAAAATAGGTTAAGATATCAAATGTTACCTTGTTTGTTATTTATCATAAAACAAAACATAATCCAAATTGAACTAAACAAACTTAACCTAACTGCCACAGCCCAGTGTGAAAGAAGTCCTTCTTAAAAACATACAATCAATATTTAAATAACCCTTATCCCAGGAAAACTGTACCCAGTGACCGGTACGATATGATTGGCCTACCTATAAATATCAAACTAGCCTAAAGTAATATTTCATCCAATCTTATTTCGTAGGATCTCTGTGAAACTGTATCCTAAGCCGCTTTGGATTTCAGATTTGAAATATGCCTTAGAACAGACAAAACATCCATCAGAAAACTAATTTTTGAAATTATTAATTTATCATGTTAATAGCACTATTTACAAAGTGCAAAAGCTGGAGACAACATATATCAACAACTCGATTCATTATTTAACCTAAACTTTACCATCCTAATCTAACCTAGGGTAACTTCAAAACACTTAGGCCTCATACAGTCATGAATCCACATAACACCCAACCTACCTACCTCATATGTCTAAATAAGAACTGATTAAGAAGTTCATAATTAACATTCAGTTTAATTTATAAATGCCTCTACCTCTTTGTCATCTTTGAACAAACTTAATGTTAGTCGTCTTAAGGTTTCTTCTTCTTCCCTAGACTATCCTTACAATCGTTCATGTTTGTCAATTCACTTAACACAGTAACTTAATGGCGACAGAGACAAGAGGCATTACAGTAATAAAATTCAAACGATCGTAGTTTATGCAGTTTTTGTGCCAGCAGAAAAGTTTATGCACCATTCTTTTCAGGTAAAAATCTAATTTTTAATGATATATAAATTACTATGGTCCCCTTGGTTAGCTTAATCAACATAATTTCCGCTAGTATTTTTAAATACCGGTATCCTAGTTTATAAATTCTTGTTAGCCTACCTTTCAATTGTAGAGTCCTTTTATCTCGTAGAACTTTTTTTGTTTAGGTTTAATAACATTTGGTTAACTTAAATAGGCAATTATTGCGATACAATGCGATATCGGGTTAATTTTTTGATGTGTACTTACAGTTTTTTTTCACGCTGAATCCAAAAATGTAGGCCTAATCAGTTTTTGTCGGAGAGATTCTTAAGTGGCTGTAAAACGAAGGTTAAAATTACAAATCTAAGGTTCATTTGGCGGTACTGATGGTAGCCTAATATGGCCTGGTCTGGACGGGTCCGATTGTGGACTAAGGACTGAGTGAGGAGAGCAAACAGCTATTTATACTCGACTTCATGCGGAATGAAATCAATTCGTTTTGAAACCAAATAATCAGTTCTTATTTAGGCATGTGAGGAAGGTAGGTCGGGTTTTATGCGGATTCGTGACTGTATTATTAAGTGTTTTGAAGTGAGGTTAGATTTAGGAAGGTAAAGGTTAGGTTATAGTGAACCGACTCATTAATTAAATGCTACTTCCAGAGTGTTTTTGCAAAATTAAATAGTGGGTGAATCACAATGAAATGACAATATCAAAAATGTGTAAGGCATAATGGGATTATGTAGCCTAATATGGACGTTCATTAACAGACTTGAGGGTTGGAATGAGAACGACCATGTCGGCAGTGGCCTAGCTTCTATTAAAACTTACTGGTATTTTCCGAGACTAAATTCTATTTTTTTAATAATTTATGTTGATGTGAATAATAGTTTATGTATCGGATTTGATTTAAATATTGTATTTTCTAAACGGCACCAAAGTCTATTTTTGCTTTTAAAAATCAAATTATTACATATTGTAATTCTGACTTTGCTCTCATGTCGTCGTGTGTGGTTTTGTCAGTTTAGTATCGAGAACGTACAACTGACAGCTGTTTCCACTAATAAGTTAACTCTAGAAAACTGAAACTTCATATTTATTATTTTGTTGTACGGCCACTTAGGAAACTCTCCAACAAAAACTTATTGCGTTTTTGGATTCAGCGTGAAAAAAAACTTACACAATATCGCTGTTAGACATATTAAATAAGAAACTTAATTCTTAATAAAATGTTTAATTAAGTTATCTATTGTTTAAGTTGAAGTTAATTATTGCTATGCTCTTTAACTAGCCTAATCCTTATATATAATACGTGAAGGCGATTTCTACAAAACAAAACACTACTCCTCCGTTAATAATGGACGGATTTTTACAAACGACGTGTCAAAATGAAGCATTTGTTGTGTAGATGCCCCCTTTCACCAATTCATGTAGTAAAAATCCTCGGGCTTTGCCTCACAGGCCATCAAAGTGGGAGTTTCTCCCATAAGATTAACATGGGGGAATCTAAATATTTAATTGGAAACTTTGTTCCCACTAATTTGAAAGAACGGCTGGGCGTAGAAACTTGGTAGAGGTGTCCAAAGAAAGGTCTTGGTCTGTAGATGAGTTATCAAAAGAAAAACTAATCAAAATCCTTTAGGACTCTGTCCCAGAAGCCTTTAAAGATCCATACACAGAGTTGTTACATTTTGGCCATGTGAATAATACTTTTTAATGAAACAGCTGTTCATTTTTAAATTGTATTTCAAACAACACACGTTAGTGAATTCTACCAAAAAAGTATTTGCAATGTCATTTTCTGATTTTAAAATTGATTTTCTTCTTTATCATGTCATGTTTTGCAATATAACTTTCCATTACGAAATCAGTGGAAAATCCTTTTATCACAGCAATTCTTAAATTATTTTTTATTGAACTATTTTATATCTATTTTACGGGTTGGTGTCTGCCTTTTTCACCACTTTTGTCTACATTTTATCATATCATTCTACACATATCAAATATTTATGTAGAAATATCTGCTCTTATCCTGTCTAATAAATCCAAACATAGAAACTTTGTCTAAAATGGTACCCATCTTGACAAATTATTTGCACCTGCCTATATTACGGACTTTGGCGCACTGGTTTGGTAACATTATTGAAAATAACACGACATTTTGGCTGTAAAAGATGGTACAAAGAGAAAATACTATTTAAGCAGCTACTGTCATGACAGAAAGGTCATATTCCTTTTAAACTAGATCACATAATCCTTTATAAGATACGTTGATTAACAAAATGTAAACAGTAAACGTCAATATATACGTAACAGCCAATTTACAGTATTTTTGCTTTTTGAAAATGTCCCATTGCTATGGTATTTGCATTATTTGTTGCCAATGAAGCCGCACGACCATATAAACGAGGAAACCCTTAACAGTACAAGAATGAAAAGCCAACTTCACTTCAAGTATTTTACTACACCTAACATTCCGTAGAGAGATTATATTGACAACTTTATTTTATTGATAAGGCTGAGACAACTAACTGACATCCCCCATGTCAAGGAATTCCAGCTTTAACAGTAACCCCACAATCAATAATTTCTCAAAAATATGCTAAGGGATCATTCATTGGCACAGAAGTACGATATGAACTGACGCGACGTGACGAAGGAAAAATCAAACTTACGCTGTAATGGATATACATCCCTTTGAAGTTAGAATATGTCTTCCCAAAAAAATATTTTCTTTTGAAATAAAATCATATTACACTGATGAAATCACGAAAGTGTTTAGCTACAAAAGATCCATCAATACGATTTTAATACTATTTAAACGTTCTTCCAAAGGAAGATATACCATATACCGGTAGCATACTAACAATAACTCCGATGACGTACGGTATGGGGAATATTTTATTCATTGAATGATCAAAAAAATTTTTCAACTATAACGGAATTAATATCATTATTGTGTTTACACTTATTACTCTTCAAACAATATTAAATATGTATATTTCACCCAATTTATCGCAGTTAGATGAATTAACGTAAGCTTGAAAGTAACCGTCGATTTCGACGGGTTTCACCTAGTTATAAATATCAGCCCTAACTTACCGTTTGCATTTCATATCTAAATTATCCTACTTCGCTAAGTTACTGTTTGCTTGCTTATTTACTTACCTGTCTGCACCTTAGACATTTATGTAGCCTATTGTTTGTAAAATTGTGTTTACCATTGAGAATGAATAAATCGACAAATAGGCTAAGTTAACTTATGTAAGTGTATTTTACCAGTAGGCCTACAGCCAAGTTTAAGCATAGGCCTACCGGTACTTAACACCAGGCGGCTGCACTTTACTTTAGGTCCTACACTCATTCGAATGAAAATATCGATTATTCGATTGTTTCATTCGATATATCGTTTGGTTAGTTATGTTAGGTTAACCTTACCTGACTAACCAAACGATATATCGAATAAAACTATCGATTAATCGAGATATTGATTGATATTTTCATTTGAATGAGTGTAGGACCTAAAGTAAAGTGCAGCCCACCAGGCCTGTAAACTTCATCCAGATGGAGTTTTGATAGATGATTAAGGAAAACTACTATTCAGCAGGGAGACAATAACTTGTCAGTTACTGTATGTTGTATGTTTTTACTAAAACGTCACAAGGATCTTATAAATCAGAAAGGTCTAATAACGTTTTTAAGATATGCATTACTTATATGCATCGTTGTCAAAAAACATGAAATACCCTAGGCTCTAAATTCAGTCATTAAAATTTAAGAGTCATTATGTGGGGTAGTTTTAATCTTTAATTAACTCACCTTCAAGAAAGTATTGGAGATCAGAAAATGATGAAATAGGGTAACCTAATGTTCTAACAGCTTCGTCCACAGATTGAAACTTATTTCCCGGTTTCCCGAATGTTTTAGATTTATGTTCCGTTTTTATTTACTGGCAAACTAAAAAGTAAACAGTTCATTAAAATAAAAATTCACTTCACATTACACTTAGAACTCTCACAATTAGTTACACTGGCTAACTCGGCTGGTTTGATAGATCAAGGTAAACTTGACGGACGGGAAGGATCTCTAAACTTCTACACCTGGGCCTAGGTCACAACAGAACATAACAGACGAAACGGAGCGATATAGAGATCTATGAGCGAAACCGATCTTGATTCGTGAATCGTTACACCAGGCCAACACCAGCACCAGATCAGACTGAGATAAGAGTGGGAGCTGGGAGTGAGCTCTGTGAGCCTGGGGCTGGACTGGACTAGACTGATATGATATCGCCAGCACGACCTTCTCACCGCAGTATTTCACCTTCCTTTTTTTGAACTTTTGGAACAGTTACACGGAACTGTTTGGAATAGATTTGTTAAAACCGTTACATTACAAACAAAGAGTTCCATTCCATTTCCTTTTTAGGTGTTCATTTTGTTTTTCGTGGATCTCTGTCTTCAACCTCCATTTTGTCTAGTGATTGGAAACTTTCTCTTAAATCGATGGTGTAATTTCAAGTTAAAGAGTTCTGGAACTGGATCAGTATGTCTGATATTAATATAAAAAAGTTTTGAATGTTCAATTTGTGACAAACACTTTGCTAGTAAATTTAAATTAACGCGCCATACACGTAATGTGCATGATAGTTGTTGTAGTGAACAATCTGACTGTTCAAACAACCCGAAAAGGCTTATTTGCCCAGAGGGTGATTGCTCTCATCAATTTTCGTGGTTTGAAAACTTGATCCAGCATCTGGAAGAAGCCATTGAATGCCATTGAAATAATGGGTAGCTGAATTTCGAAACAGAAGAAGGTAAGTTAAATTTATTATAATTACGAACTTCACAATACTGTATTCATAAATATAACTATAAATGTAATAATAAAACTTTTGATTTTAATTTGTGCGCTTTTTCATTATGACTCCTGCTCCATCAATAATACCTTATAACCTTTCTCATTGTTAGCAAATTTAACAAAACTGTGCAATTTATTTGAATAGTTTTCCTTAGTATGCTACAATATCATTATCTTTTAAGAATAAGCCAGTTGCCGTAGCCGTGATGTAGGTAATGTAAAAATAATTAAATATACGAAACCAGTAAACTAACTTACAGGTTATGTATATAAAAGACTTGTTATTATTATGAGGAGGAGCAAAAAAATTATATCATAATAATTAAATTTTTATGCAGGAAAAATAATCAAGTTGAGAAGGAACGGAGCTATTTGTAATATAATTGTTTCGCCAAACCTATTCTATACTTTTTGTCACAGTTGCATTGAACATTATCCCAAACAGTTCCGTGTAGCTGTTCCAAAGGTTCAAAAAAAAGAAAGGTGAAATACTGCGGTGAGAAGGTCGTTCGCCACCTCAGCTGATCAGCTATTCATACAAAGACCAATAAAGTAAAAGATTCCGTTTAAGTGGTTTAAGCCAGTTTAAGCAAGAAGTATAAGAAAATAATCATTCTAAAACAGTGACACTAAAAAATATAAAGCTCAAATACCACTGACTCGCTCACTCATCACGAAATCTCAGAAACCATAAGACCTAGGAACCTGAAACTTGGCAGGCATCTTCCTTTAGGGTAGTAGACGCTCACTAAGAAAGGATTTTACCCTCCGACTTCTGGGCTCCGCCCCAGTGGCTCTGGAGTTTCCCATGTTAACCTTATGAGTACTCATATTTAAATGGAATTAATGAATCTTAACAGCTGTTTCAATTAAACAAGTTGGTTCTGTTCTATGATGTTCAATAGCATTAAAATTACAAGGATTACCAACAGGGTGCAGCACTATTATTTCTTTTACATTTATGAAAACAGCTAATTTGCAACCAAAAGGTGAGTGAGCGTAGCGAACAAACTTCAACCTGGAGGTGAGCTAGCGTAGCGAACGAACTAACCTGAAGGCAAGTGAGCGCAGTGAACGAGCTCTAACCTAAAAGTGAGTGAGCGTAGCGAACGAACTTCAACCAGGACGTCAGGACGTGATTGAGCCATGCGAACGAGATCATCTTGAAAATTAAGAAGTTAAACGGGGCAAAGCCCGCGGGTTACAGCTGGTAGTTTATGTTCATGAATCTAATGCTATGGTTTTAACGATTGATTAATTTTAAATAAAATAAGCCAGGGCTACGCTATATAAACGAGGTCAAATTAATTTTCACCTTTTTCAAAAGCATGTTTGATCAACTCTTTCCAGTAAGAACAAAGACTAGCTGTTAATGGGTACAAGTTGTAGCACGAAAAGAACTCTAAATGGGATAAAAAATGGTACCCCCCTGAGTTGGCCCGCTTAAAACAATTAATCCTTGTGGGGAGTGCTCTTGTCCGTACCAGACCTAACTTGGAAAATCATCTAAGAAATTTGCGTAAAATGTATCGAGACCGAGACTGTATATGGACCTATAAGCTGAAGGAAGCAACGTAGGCGTCTGCGTTGGATATAGTAAGGAAATCTTCAAACCCATGTAAGGCTACTTGGGATTTGATTAAGCAGTCAGGGCCGCAGTCAAAATAATGCTTTATGTGCCATCTCTGCATCCGTTGATGAGCTGAATAGCTTCTTCTTTACCTCGGTAGACAATATTGTGGACAAACTTGACAGTCCAAGTCCTTCAAGATTGTCTGGATGATGTACCAGCTGTACCACACACAATTGTCTGGAAACCTGTAAATACTGTAGATATTGTAAATAGGCCTATTGGAGTCTATCTCGGCCTTTATAGAAAAAACCACCTCCAAATTTCTGAAGTCTTTAGACAAAGTTCCTGGTGCACTTGCTTTTTATCTTGGCGAAGCAATAACTGAGAACAGGAGGCTACGTGGAAGGCTTCCTCAAGATCTATTGGATGAATGAGACCTAAAGAAGATTAAATATTTCATCTAAATTAATTATGTTACAGGGTGTCTCAGGTCTGGGCGAACCCACGTTCTTATTTGTTATTTCCTTGTTTATTTTGTTAACAATTCTGTGAATAATGTCATCATTGAACCAGAAATAAATGCTGTAAAAAAAGAAATTTTAAATCAACTAGTAGTAGAAACATATATGAAATGTCAACAAGTTTTCTTAAAAAGGTTGTCCATTTAATTGCACCAATCTTGACAATTTTAATTAATTTATATCTCCTGGAGGGTGTTTTTCACAATGTCCTACAAACAACTAGAACCATACCAGTCTATAAAAAGGGTCCTCTTGATAGCTTCTTTAGCTATCGCCCTATATCAATGATACCCATTTTTGCCAAGGTTTATGAAGCAATGATGCTCACACAATTGTATTGTGTGACTACTTTGAGGAACATAATCTGCTTGTATACTGGCTCAGTTTGGTTTTGTTTTAGGAAAGGAAGATCCACTGTTTCTGCAGTGGATTCACTTGTCCAGCATATTCTTGTTGCTTTTGAATCCAAAGAGAGTGCAGCTGTTCACCTCTGTTATCTTTCCCATGCTTTCAATTGTATGCCTCATGAAATACTTTTAAAAAAATTGAAAAAGTATGGTCTTGCTGATTCTGCCCTCAAAGTGGTTAACTCATTAACTCTTATCTCTGTGACAGACAACAGATTGTTAATCATAATTAAGCCAAATCAGCCACATTGCCTGTTAAGCATGGTGTGCCCCAGGGTTCCATATTGGGACCCTTATTGTTTGTATGTACTAACTTGTATTTCCGACTAGACACAAGGGTGCTTTTGTACGCTGATGATGCAACACGGTTTGCTAGCCATGAAGACTCAGCTGTAGCCATTACAACTGTTGTGTCTATCTAATTTTAAACTAGCTGCAGATTGGTTTGTTAGTAACAAGCTTGCTTTGAACAAAGATAAGACACAGTCAATATTTTTTAATCTTAACAGAATCAGATTGAACAGGCAGAGTGATACTGGTCCTGTAAAACTGCTTGGTTTTTCTCTTGACTGTGTCTTAAGCTGGAGTGACCACAGAGACTCACTATGTTCAAAGTTAAGTCGAGTCATTTTCTTGTTGCGCAGACTCAAAAATGATATGCCTTTTGTTTTTCTTAAATATGTTTTCTTTGCCTTTTTCCGATCTCACATTGGGTATGGTGCTAGGCTGGATGTGGGGTCATTCCGGCAGGACCCACAGTGTTCTTTTGTTGCTACAAAAAGCAATAAGAATGTTATGTAGTACTCGTAACCGAGCCCTTTGCAAACCTTTGTTTAACATGTGTGGTGCAATGACAGTTGTCAATATCTACATCTTCCAGTGCCTAGTTGCTATAATGGAAAATGAGAGTGTGTTTTTAACAAACAGTGACATCCATATGTGCAACACCAGAAATAGAAATAATCTACACATCAATAGATCTACAATAAGCTTGGTTTTAAATTGTTACCCTGTTTCAGGTATGAGGTTTTTTAATCGCCTCCCAACAGCCATAAAACAGCTGTCAAAAGCTAAATTTTCAAAAACCATAAAATCATTTACAACAAAACACTATTGTATTCTTCTTTTTAATCAGATCATTCAGATTATCCGCAGAGAAATAAATTTGGTACAGATGAAACTTTCAATGGGACACTTAATTAAGTGGTCGTGGTGTCTAATATAGTCTTAGCCCCCTCTAATACAAGGCCGCGGCATTGGTGTGTGGCAACATCGCACCAACATGCCTATATTGCCATGGCAATATAACACAGGAATAACAAACTTGTAAACATAAACATTTGCGTATACAATCCATTAAAAATTAGTGCAACAGCTGTTTTAGTATGCGGGGTCTCCGGCATTGACATTTTAGTTTCGCCGTGGCTTTATATTAGAGGAGGCTCTTTTCTATCACTACTTCTGGCATAGCATGGTGCTGGTGTCTGGGGCAAAGCATCTCAATGGGGCAAAGTCCAACACAACCCCCTCGCCCACATGTGTTTCCTGAACTTAGCATATTTACTCAACCTAGTCTATTTATTTACTATAATCTTATCTTTGTTAAAAACAACAACCATATTTTTCAAAAAACCTCTTCTATTCGTTCTTACAACACCAGACAAAAAGTATAGTATTGGACTTGATAAGTATTATAAGAAAAAGAGCCATAGTTACCATCAAATTTTATTTTATAATAAACTGCCAACCAATGTTAAAATGCTACCACCTAAGAAATTTACCAATGTTATAAGCAAGTGGCTTAAAGTTAAGGAATTTTATACCACTGAAGAGTACCTGAGCTGTGACCCTCACGACATTATCTATTAATTTGTGTTAATACTTTGACGACACCTATTGTATATTGTATATTTAATGGTGAATAAATTCTTGATTCTTGATACTACAACGCTCACATTGGAGGAACACCTTGTGTCCTCTGCGATAGGATTTTCCGCTAAATGCTCGCCGCTCTCCGCTTTGGCTGTTTTCTTACCCTTACTTGGCACAAATGTATATCCGGCTAAACATATACTACAGCTTAAACCGCCCAGTCGTCCCATAAGTGTGTTTCCTTAGAACCTTACTTCTCTGTGGAATATACAGTCTTACCCTGCCTTTAGTTCTCACTTAAAGCTATATATCCATAGAGATTTGGTCAAAGGATAGGTAGGGTCTTTTAGTTATTGTTCATACAGTATACATTTTTTTTGTATTTATCACAAATGATAAATTTGTAAACATCACAACATCTATATAATCCTGCACAGACAGATATTTTTAAATCGTCTCCACTAATTGTTAATAAAATTGTGATAAGTCTGAGAAGGTATCTCCCAAGATGGAATTCCCACAATGTATGCTCTGATTCCTTGCCAGAGATGGCTCCTTAGACTGCTTTGGTAGATGATCAGACCTAGCAACCCACTGCACTAAACACCGGTCAACATGGGCACCATCAGACTTTACCACAAGGAGGCCGGAGATAGTAACTTAGATAGTACTTATCATACGCTTAAAAATACACAAATTTGAAAAGTTCCACAGTAAAATAACTTATTTCAACATTCTAAGACATAAGGAAAAAGTCTCAATTCATCTCTGGTTTTATATAGTAAACGGTATATTGTTGAATTTACTGGCAAATAATTAATCCAAACGTTAATTTTGCGTAATGGCTTAATGATAAATCACAACCAGCTGTATTGATGTAAACAAAAATCTGCCGGAAATGGCTTCTAATGCTATTCTTATGGAGAACATTTTATGTTACATCTAATTTTGTAAAATATTTGGTTTTACAATACCTTTATCAGTTCCAAAAACTTTATCAATTTTTGGAACTGATAAAGGTATTGTTATATATTTTATATATTACAGTTCCGGGGCTACAACAATGAATTATCTAATTTTGTGTTTATATTTTGGGAATGTCACTATTTTTCCCGCCAACATGGGATTGAGACCTTTAATTTGAGCCCTCTCCCGTCATTCTACGACTTCTCATCAGTCGCCCACAATTTTGACGCAAAGATTCGACTTACGTAATTAATATATAGATATACTATTCCTGGTGAGTGGTTTGGATGTATTTTCCAGATAGAACTTCAGCAGGAACACAAAGACTTACTTGGATAACCCTTTATACTCAATCAAGTAGTTTTATGCAATTTTTAAAGGCTTCCATAGGATTGTACCTCTATTATTTGATCTGGCCTATTACCTGTAGTGTTTAATGACTTTTGATATGAATTGCATTGTTAAATGCCTTCTAAATTGTTGGAAAAAACAATCCAAATGAGGCAATGCAATGTTGCAAGTCTCCTGTCCCCAAACATCCATCTCCATAATGTCTAGCATTCACTTCTGCGCATTTCCTGGCTGTACCATACCTGTACAGGGTACCTGAACAGCTTATTTGTCAAATTATTTGCCTAACACCAACAATGTGGAAGTTTGTTCCATCCTGAGAAAATTCCTTAGCTTTTTGATGGCTGTAAACTGGACCCAGCAGTTGTCCTGGACCATAAGGCTTTTGATAAAATGATGGTCCTGGTTAAAAAAATCAGCTGACTTGCATGTTTTAAGGTTAAAATATGCCTTAGTTGTGTCCTCATACCAAAATAATTATAATGTGTTAAAGTGAGCTTTAGTATATACTGTATTCAATTATATAAATGTAATAAATAAAGGCTTAGTTTACCTGTTGTCTGTTGAAACTTAAAACGATAAATTGTTGATCGTTGCCAACAATGGATCTGCGAAGTGCCGCTAGGAGTCTCGGGTAGTATGGCGCACACTGCTGCAGGAAAACAGCCACATGCTATAAGCAGATGCTGCAGAGGTGTGCGCCATAACTACATGGCACTACTAGCGGTGGACGCTGGATCTTATGCCAATCGCAGCTCTGCTGTCGTTCTATATATTCTATTTGTCTATGATCATAAGATCATCTATCATGAAATAATATATATTTTTTTAAAGATGTATGTATTAGATCTAGATTGTGTTTATTATTCTCAGAAGAAGATTCTGTCCCCTAGTACCTCTCAGCCAGCCGCCACTTACCAAATGTACATTAGAACTCTCAGCCAGCCGCCACTTACCAAGTGTACATTAGAACTCTCAGCCAGCCGCCACTTATCAAGTGTACATTAGAACTCTCAGCCAGCCGCCACTTATCAAGTGTACATTAGAACTCTCAGCCAGCCGCCACTTATCAAGTGTACATTAGAACTCTCAGCCAGCCGCCACTTATCAAATGTACATTAGAACTCTCAGCCAGCCGCCACTTATCAAATGTACATTAGAACTCTCAGCCAGCCCCCACTTATCAAATGTACATTAGAACTCTCAGCCAGCCGCCACTTATCAAATGTACATTAGAACTCTCAGCCAGCCACCACTTATCAAATGTACATTAGAACTCTCAGCCAGCCGCCACTTATCAAATGTACATTAGAACTCTCAGCCAGCCACCACTTATCAAATGTACATTAGAACTCTCAGCCAGCCACCACTTATCAAATGTACATTAGAACTCTCAGCCAGCCACCACTTATCAAATGTACATTAGAACTCTCAGCCAGCCACCACTTATCAAATGTACATTAGAACTCTCAGCCAGCCACCACTTATCAAATGTACATTAGAACTCTCAGCCAGCCACCACTTATCAAATGTACATTAGAACTCTCAGCCAGCCACCACTTATCAAGTGTACATTAGAACTCTTAGCCAGCCGCCACTTATCAAATGTACATTAGAACTCCGACTGTCCGAATCAATTGAGACACTACCACATGTGAATAGTCACAAAACTTCAAAGTTAGATGTTTACTGGTAATTTTTAGAAAACAGGTAGAGCTGAGCCAAGCTTTTATTATGGTGATGACAGAGCATGTCTGCAAAGATTTTTTGATAAAAAAAATTAAAGCTTTGTCATAATTGGGGAGAAGGATGATGATTTTCTGTAAATCCAGGAGATGGTGATGTTCATGATTTAGCCTGCAATGTGGAAGACGATGATAATGTTTCTGTGGCTGTGGAAGATGGGAGACTATAAGGTTGTCTACATGATCGCAAAAGATGTTTAGGACTGTGCTGCGATCTTGGCTTCTGCCACCTTTTATAACGATTCTTATTACTCTGGAGTTTTTAAAATTCTCTTTGTTTCTATAGGATAATCAGCAACTCAAATGATCCGCAATTTGGATGGTTGGGGTTTGGATAATTGGAGTTCTAATGTATCTCAAAATCACATACGTCAGATATATTTGGAGCTTGAACTATAAATGGAAATAATATTTTATATCAAATGTTTGATATTTTATGTTATACCTTTGACTTCCCATAGGCATCCCATTTTTAGGTTAGAACTGTTATAGCCCGTTAAAAAAAAAAATATGAATATAGATGAATTGAGTCACTGATTGAGTGTGCTGATGTGATATACTAATTTATATTGAATAACCAAACTTTTAAACCAAACCAATCTTTAAGTGAGTCGGTGGCTCAGTCGGTAGCGTCGCGGTCTTCGGGCCCAAGGCAGTGATGTCGTGGGTTCGGATCCTGGTCACTGCCGATAACATTTTATTAGTACAGTTCAACTTTGTACTGTACCGGCTCACTCCTTGCTTTGCTGTAAACGATCCACGCACGGGCGCTTAGCCTATGTGGACGGGCAAATGCAAGGTTAAAAGAGGCCGCCAACCTCTTAAAAAAAAAAAAAAAAAAAAAAAAAAAAAAAAAATCTGCAAAGACAACTCATTATAATCTATAGCATCTCTTATATCACCGAAACTGTCATAGTAACGATAGCTGAAGGAGAAAAAAAATTATTATAAAGTGGTAGATTCTGTGTTCTGTGATTACAAGAATGGTTACAGCTAGTCCAGGTAGGTTATTTGTCACATTCAGTACGAAAACAAAAAGTCAATGATTATATCTTACTAGATGTTTGTCACACTTGTAATGTCATTCATCAAAGAGAGGAAAGGGAATACTAAACAAAACAATACATAGAAAACATCAAAATATTTATTTAAGACTGCTGTTTATTTAATTTACATTTGCAAAAGTATCCAGTGAAATAGCTCCATATCTTTTAATAATAATAACATTTAAAATAGCATTTATAGAACACTATTATCTAAATCTGAGATAAATGGGTCACATACATCTGGTCTGAAAATGCAAACCCTGAATACATAAAAATACTATTTACATCACTCGACATCTTTATGTAAAAATATGGTCAACTTTTAATAAACTCTATCATCCATCTCTACTAAGGTACATATTTGTTTTAAACAACAACAATAAAATCTGCAATAAGAGAACATTATTTGGTTCGTGTAGCCACGGGCGTTGAATCTTTGAAAAAGTTCCAACAGACAATCGAGTTTCAATAGAATTAATTGCGTTTAACCCGTCACAAAACTCATGAGGCACTGAACAATTCACAATGTGATTTCTGAGCAGCGGTGAGTTATAACTAGACTAAAACTAATAAGTACTAACCGAAATTATTGGTTCCGACACTCTTCTACCAGGAGAAACTTTGAGTTTTAATTTGAATCATATAGAATCAGAGTTTATCACAAATTTTTGGTCCGGTAAAACAAAATAGGATACACGAGAATATCGAAGTGATTCGCCCACAATAAATGGCAGTGATGGTTCAGGGCAGTAGAGATAGAGTAGGAATGACAACTGAAGAGAACACTACACCGATAGCCTCATCACATTTAGACATTACAGATAGAAATCTTAGCAAAACTATCAAATAGACTATAATAAACCGTTCTTCACGCCGCTATCAGTCTCTAAAATATTCTCACTTCTTAAATTGCTTCAAAAGGCCTTTCACAGCAACCGTTTGCGGATCCCTCCAACACCGCCGTCACGATTAGTAACACCGAGACACTGAGCTTATAAAACACGGTAAAAACGTCTAGTTCCAAAATTGTTATAAAAGTGTGATGTTTCCGAACAATAAATAAGCTTTAACCGTAAGAGAACAGAGTGTGAGCAGCGCACTGCCATTCGTAAATAGAAATCCGAAGAACCGAAACTATAAACACAAAGAAATAAATAAATTATAGACAATATGTAGTTTGTATATACAAGTAAGTCATGAGGCTGCAAACTATTTACAAGATAAGAGCAGGTGGCAGTGCGAGCCGGTGCGATCCCGCCGTTCCTGAGATCATTCCGTTACAGTAACAGTATACACAATATACAACAAAATATACACATAGGCTACAGTACACAGACTGGGGAACAGCTTTGAGCATCTGCACTCGGCCGGACACATCTAGGTGGGACCCAAATGTTACCGTATCACAACCTTCGTCACGTCAAACCGACTTAAAGCTGTCTTTCCTTAGTAAAATGTACAAAATAAAATATTTATAATTGGTAATCGATTTTTACGGGAAGACTGGCTCGGACTGAACGTAAAAAAGATGTTTTGGGAAATTTCAGCGAGACAGCTATCACCGAACTACCTTAACTACAAACAGCCTTCTTTACCGTTTTACAAACAAATACAAAAATAACATTTAATTATAAGTAGTTGGCGCTGGTGCTGGCGCGGACGTTCGATGATCCGAGACACTGTCACCATCACGTGGACATTGGACGTCTAGGAGTGAAGTGGTCACGCTCCTGTGCAGTCGATCTCCACGATGTCTTTAGGCACATCCACAAACTGGTAAACTAACCTCTGGCCGTCAACCTTGGCCAAGATGCCTCTCTGGTAGTAATACCTGCAATGACAAGAAGACATGATTAAAATGATCAACTGGTAAGGTGGTATTTGTTACATATAAATACCTAAATTTATCAGGTAAATTAGTACCAAAATTACTTTTAGATGTGGATGAAATCATCAAAAAATATTTTTTTTCCTGTTTAGAGAGCTGTTTTAACTGTTGTTCAATGTATAAGGCAGTTCAGCGTACCCAACAACTAGGGTTTGGAGCTCATGCCTTGTTTGAAGATATTTCTCTTTAGCATGAATTTAGCAACTACTGGCTGTTGTGAAGTCTGTTCAGTACCTGAGTGCTCGGCCCATGGTCTCGTAGTTCATGTCGGGCTTGTTCTTGTGCAGTCCCCAGAGCCTACTGACTGCCTTGCTGTCCACCAACTTGAACACTCCCTTCTCCCTGTTGGTCCACTTGATGTACCTTGGACAGTAGTCCCTGTCTTGCAACAGCTTCAATAGGAACTCCCACAGGTACGTCGTCGACCCTGCGAAAACACAACTTTGGTCAAAAACTCAATCGTCACATAACTTGACAATTCAACTGTTAACTTGGGAAAATCTCATGCCAATTAAATTTATTCTGTAAAAAAACATATCTTGATAGAATAGCAAAGCAATTTCTAAAAACATCTCCTAGATATTAAATACGGAAAACATAAATCTCATTTCTAGATCCTCAAGAGTAAAAATACCTCAATCTTTGATTAACAAGAAACCATTATCCAAGGACTTCAATAGAACCAATTTAAAAAAGGTATTTAAATAATGACTTATTAAATCTTAGATTCTCTTAAACTGCTAAACCTTTTAGTCGATACAGTTCAGCTAGCACTTTACACTCTTAATAGGAAATACCAGTCTTGTTTGCCATATGACATTCAAGTTTGTATTCTATCTATGATGCATTTTGTGACGGCTAGTACCAGGTTATGCTAGGTTTGGTTAAATTTTTAACCTAACTGTGTGTCCAGTGTCCACTTGACCATACGTTCAATATGGAATGGTGTTTTAGACTCTTTCCTTTCGACATTTAATTAATTATTCATTCTACAGAGTTATGAACTAGGTTTATGTTAGTTTTGGATACAACATTTCTTGACTGACCTTCCCGACTTTTCCTCTTGGCGCCGGGTGGCAGTGGCTCTCCACTCTTAATCCTTCTGATCTTCTTCTTGGCTCGCTGCTGGAAGCCGAGCTCCAGGAAGTAAAGGTCGTCGTTGCTGGAGGAGGCTGCGGCCTGTATCACAGAGGTGGGTGCCGCTCTAGGTGGGGAGGGGGCGGGGGGCGTCGCGAAGTAGTAACTACTAGGCGGGGGCATGTAACCGTAGCCGTCCGTTACTGTAAGAAAACGAACAAGGTTAACATTGAAAACATTTGGTTGGTTAATTTCTTAAAAAGGTTTCCCATCGAAATAGTATTTCCTGATAACACATACTTGAATGTTTACCATGATGGTCTTATAAGGATGATAATTATTGATTTCTAGCTAATGTACCTATGATATGGTAAAATGTAAGAAAAGAAAATATAAGTTTCAAGTTTTAACTTACACATATTTTTATTTGTTTATTTTGTAAAATCATAACACATATTATTCGGACTAAGAAGTTATTTAAATATAAGAAAAGCAAACGCAAATACAATAATTATTTTTATAAAATAAAAAAGAAAGTAAACATTTTAACATTCGCTACCATTGTAAATAAAATAGTCAAGTGACCTAAATCAATAAATTTTTCTTAGCATTGAAACATCTCAAAAACTTTATTTCCAGGGCGCCTGCAATATCCTCACACAACACGCAGCACATCCCGGTATTGCGTAATGCTCAGTTAGCACTATGAAGGCGTCCGAATGCTGCGACTGAAATAAATGCACTAGATAAAAGACGACACCGTATACCTTCCAACGGCTTAATCTAATTTATTTCGTCGATAAATCTTCCGTAAATATCCGCTGGAACCTTATGCACTTGACATTTGCAGGTTGCGCTATTTCGACGTCAGAATGCGCTGCCGTCGCCGCCAACATTCCGACCTAGGACAATGTCTTGGACGTAAATAGTGTAAACTTGAAAATCCACTCTCGACGATGGAGACATGCCAATAACGATCGTGGAACAATAGATAGCTAAATGGCGTTCCAATAATCAATGGTCGGTCCTTGTTTATTTGTCTAATGGAGCGTGCACTGGTAACATTTATTTAAATCGTTCAATATGTTGTTTGCTGTGGCTTCGGAATGTCTTAAACCCTAATATTATTATCACAGTTTTTTCATACATAATAAGTATTTATTATTTTAATGCAAACAAATACGATAGCATGGCTCATATATTTTTGGAACAATTCAAAGTTGTAATTGTGTAACTTTCAACGCGATACGAAGTCTACCTCGATGGATACAACAATAATAAAACTCAAATCAAACTGTTATACAAATGTTAATTTACTAAAATGGCATTGCAAAAATCATTTGAGCGTAGCGACAAGCCTACATTTCACAATTATACACAATTTTGTTTTACCAACATCAAAACCAACTCTAGATATTAAAGCATTTCATCCAATTACAGTACTACACATACCTATTTTACGACTAATACAAATATTAATTTGATTTTCAACTTCCCCGCCTGCAACGCAGTTTCATACATATTGACCCAGTGCAGAAATAAGCAGAGGCAATTAGTTCTGCCAGATTGGCAACAGTGGTGGCGGAAGCAGTGGTGCCACCGGCGGTATTTCTGTAGTTAGTTGCATACGTTGCCACGGGAGCGCTGCCAGCCGGCATCACTGACCAACCCAACCTTGGATTCGGTCGTTCCCTCCCCCCACCCATCTCCTACCTTACCGACACTTTCGCTGGCAGCCTCGTGCGACAGAAATATCTGTTCTGCTGTACCGACACCGATACCGACCTACGCACTGAGGTCGGTAAACAAATTATTTTTGGAGTAAGACGAAAGTAACAATACCGACGAAAAGATTTTTAAACTATGCCAATTTTCTAGTGTTACAACAATAGATTTGGTAGAATTTTATTTATTGATTTTTCCAATAAATTCAGCAAATCTAACTCATTTACTATCGGGAAAGGTTTTAAACCCCCTAAAAATACTGATAAATTTCAATAAAATAAAAACCCACTCAGTTCTGCCCCAATAAAAACTAGATAACCTTTGAAGACGAAACGGATTATAAGATATAAAAAATCAGCTACGCGGTCGGACGTTCGTGAAGGTCACGACCTGTTATCAGACCTTGACAGCGTCTGTGATAACAGCTGATAGTTGTTGAGCTTGCCGAGCCAGTCTAGCCGCAACCCTTCCTTTTGCAGCTTGTATTTTGCATTGACAATAAACAATGTATTGAGTCTAAGTAAAACCGTTCAAAAACAATCGGTCGTGGTGAATACAGGGAATTGCACTTTGAGATACGAACGTGTTTTTTAATTGACCAGTAAATAAACTTGAAAGACAACATAATATTTTGTGAACTGTAAAATATTTATTTTATTTTGTTTTGTAGTAATTTATTTCGTTTTTGCACGAGAGCGAGATGAGTACAATATGAAGTGAAAGGCTATTTGATATATTCATTGTTATGTTTTGTTATTGTTATATTTTTTATAAATTGTTATATTTTTTTATACATTGTTATATTTTTCTTAAATATTGTTTTCAACTCCTCTGTTAATTATTAAATCTTTAAAATATTTGTAACTACTAATGTAAAATGGTGTTTGCCGTTGGTGTTTAATAAATAAATAAATAAAGGCATTGGGTTGTCACGGTCAATTTAGAAACCCAATCAATTGTCTACATTGTTTCAACAATAAGTCACAGCCATGAGTGTTCACGTATTGCGTGATGGATGACATTTTTTTAATATTTTTCGTTTATCACACGACAAACCTCACATTGACAACATACGTGCAGACAGAACGCGGAAAGTCATAAGTAAAACTCGGTCGGTTGAAGCAATCCGAAAGCGTGTTTTCCTGGTGGCAGCTTCTGCGGTATTCATTTTGAATAATTAATTTGCCACTACTGTCCGGTCCTTGTTCATGTGGCTCACCTTCACCATTCTCCGAGGTTAGTTTCCCTGCTTGGATCAAAATTTGTAGGTGAATCCGGAACATTACAATGGCGGGGTTAGAGATCAGGAATTAAGTTGTGAATCTAATTGGTTATTTAAATCACTGCCGCCGCCAAGTGAATCTCGCCCAACTGTAGGACACCGTGGATTGGTGGAGCGAAGGTCACAAGCTCGGCTTATTTCCTGGTCATTGGCTCTTCCGTCTGGCACAGCCGCCATCTTGTTTTCTCAAGGTAACGCGGACAGTTTCCGGCCGCATGCGCCGTCCCGCGAACATCGCGTGGTACGATAGAGTACGCAAAAACTACTGCAAGAAACTAAATACACATTTTGTAAAAAGTCGTTTCTAGAAATATTTTATTTTTCACTGAATACCTAATCAGTTCGAAATTCCAAGACCCTAATCAGTGCGACGATTTTCGATTTTATAACAAAACAACGAATTGCGCAAAGTTTAAAAATAACGATAATAATGAGAAGCAGGTTTGGAACAAGACTCGCAGTGCCGTGGTGGAGAGACGAGCCAAAAACTAAATTGTTTACTTCCTGGTGCCAGCGCGAGTGTGGAAAATACCTGAGAAAAACGGTTATTTCAGTCCGCGGCGCTGATAGGCAACTTTGCAAAACAATATTCAAAAGTAATCAATCGCAGTCAAGTGTGTATTTGTGTAACATTCAACCTGTCATGGGTAACCCCGAAAAATCAAAGAGTTATTCTTAAAATGGAGTTTCTTGATAAACTCGCACTTTTCCGCGCCCCCATGAAACTAATTTCAGTAATACTTGGTACAGTAGGACTACTGTTACTGTACTATGTGTTTTTAATACAAGAACCAGATCACTTCTCATTGATAGCCTCGAGTAGTTAGTTTTCCCCTTAGGAGTACAATTTCTTTTTTAATATTTTAATTCTGCAACGTTGGTAAAGCATCACCTGTATGTGACCTATGGCCTCGACGATCGTAGTTTTCCCTCGGAAGTGGCCTTCCCTGCGATAGCTGACGACACCCGAAACTCGTCAACACAACACACGGACGTCGCCTAGTCGCTGACGCAGCTCGTGCTGATAAGGCGTGGACGAGGCCGTCAGAACGTTGACTCCGCTGAACTTGAACTTGGTATCGCGCCTGCGCAGTGCGGGCGTCATTACGCAACGCTTGGGATAGGTTAGGCGCTCGCGGCACGGCGGGAAACTGACCGTAGGCCTACGTGACACAGAGTACAAACAGTTGCATAGAGTATTCCGACACAGAGGACGGTGATAAGGCAATTAATTGTCGAATAGGAATGTGTTGGCTTCGAGTACTTCATGTAGGAGAAGATATTTCACAAAATTGATTCACCTCAATCGATTTTATGCGTACGTGGTAAATAATACAACAGATTCCATAGAGTATTTTGATGAAGAGTAGATTCAGTAATTATTGTGCAGTAAATGCGTTGAAGTTACTTTTCATGCATTTGGAAGAAAATATCACATTTTTTAACCTCAATCTGTTGTAAACAGAGAAAACTATTCAACAGCTAACGTTAAATGAGGTAGACATTTTGCAAAATCTATAAAATCAGAAAAGAAAATTGTTTATTTGAAATAGTTATTAAATTAAAATTAGTTATGGTTGATGTATTTTTGAGTTGTCTTGAGGGAAATTAGGGTGGGATGCCAGGACAAAGTTTTGCGTTGCAATGGTACTGACAAATTTGAATGCTAAAAGTTACCGACAAAATGTTACTAGTCAGTGTACAAACGAACGTAAAGATAAATAAACTGAGAACGTTTACGATCAGAGTGACGACAAATTTCGGCGAATGTTACCAACGAAGACAACAAAGGCCAAACAGAAGGAAGTCTGGGCAACAAGAGAGACCTTGAGGTAGTCAATGGCAACGTCCCGCCTCTTACTTGTCAATAATTAATAGCCATTCTGTGTTATACACATAACAAAGCAGTTCCTACGACTGATCGAATAGTGTTGAAAGTAAAATATAGATCTTCTACCCTTGACATACAATTTACAAAAATATATTATAAATCCTATTATTATTAATCAAGTTGTATTTAAAAATTTAAGTAATATATATATTACAAAATTGTATCGCTTTTTTTAACACACTAGTCTTATATTTTAGGTAGCAAAATAAGCATATTAGGCTATCTAATTACAATAATGACTTGATGATCAAAATTACGGAAAGTAAAATAGAATTAATTTATAAAATCCCAAGCTTACAGTTATTTTCTAAACTTTCATAGTACAAGAAAGATCACGACATCACGACCACACAAATTGGTCCGAGAAACAACAAATGATACTTTGTAATAAACACAATGATATTCACGCGATAATAAGAGCCATACCACGATTAGCCCAATAGAAGCACTCCAATTCAACCCTTGTTGGGCTGCCCAATAAACCCCGCAATAAAGTTCGCTTTCGTTTAGCCAGCATAAAAGTGCGAGTTGGTTTAAAAATAGGTTGAGCACTGCAGCTCGGCCTTGGGTAGGGCCTCAACCCGGCTGTTCCCCGCGGCGCCCATCCCCCCACTCTCGTTGCCATTCCGCGCACTGGTCACTCTCCCCGCGACGCCGTCAGTGGCGCTCCGACGCTCGCAGAGGACGGTCGACACTCGGGAAATGTTGGAAATTGTTAACAGAACTGTATGTCTGATAGACTGTGAAGGGACTTGTAAAACAACACGTTGCTTTGTTTGCAATAATGAAAACAATGACTGTGTTCTCGAGGCCGATCACAGTGAATTGAAATATGAAATAATATCATGAATATTTGTGTATTCATACTCAAAATTTAGTTGAACGTGTTGTAAAAGGAAAATCCAGCCACAACATTGGCAATACAGTAAAACAGGCCATACGAATAAAAATAAACCAAATGTAAAAAAGGCTCATGCCAAAAATGTTCAACGCAAAATAAATATGTTTGATATTAAACATCAAATAAAGATAACATCCGGAAAATTATATTTAGGCCTAAATTTTCTATATAGACTCGAATACCTATAACATACAGATTGCATTTCTCCTTGTACCAACCTACCGATGACACTTTCTTTCTAAGATATTACAGGGGTACTACTTATAACATAAAATCTAAAAGTCCATAAAACACAGGAATTAAAATGGAAAAAATATAACATTCAAGTAACAACGACCCTAATAAGTGACAATAAAAAAATACCGTCAAAATTATCAAAAAATGCTTACATTATTTAGTTATTAGACATACTGTAATCGTGTCAAGGGGGCATTTTCCCCTTTTAACGAAATAATTTAAAGGGAACAATGCCAATGACTGTTTCAATTAGGCCTACTATCTTAGCAAATTTTACGATAAGTTTTAGTAAACTAAATAAACTTTTAGAATATTGAATCAACCATTCCGCGACGACATTGACTGCGGGTGAACGACATCATATCTTGTTTGTCAATCCAGTATAATGACCAATGACAACCCTCGACTGTCCCAACAACAGACTGTTTCAAGGGCGAAGATACGTCTAGGCGGACATTCGGTTTGTGTATTTTAAGGTCGCAAGATGAGCAAGGTCGACTAAACAAACAATCAAACTGTTTGTTTTTAGCAGTCGATAACGACCTTGTTGCTATTGTTTATGCATTCTGTGCTAAACAATAAATACGGGAAAATCGCAGTGGAAATTGCAAGTAGAGTCGAAGGCGTGTTTTAGTATGAAGAAAGTATTTCGTCTTCCTTAGTGTAAACTGACGATATAATAGGTTTGAAAATAAATGCCAGACGAGTTGTTTTTATTTGATTTTGAAGAGGTCGTTTATCTTTAAATTTCAAATGCGAGTAAATTATGAAATAATCCGTAGTCAAAACAGTTTTTTTTTTATCCTAATTGTTCCATCCTAACCTCCTGGTTACCCCCAATGAGTGTTGTGAACAATGACAGGTTATAATAACTGTTTGCGGGTATATAAGTGTACAAATGTTTATGTGTGTTTTAGGACAAGGTTTAGATATTTGCTCAAAGATAAAACTAGTGAAATACCCTAACCAATTAAATAAATTTACCATATTTCGATTCCGTGGTGTCATCTATGATCGTTATAAAATCAAGAATTCCACAACTCTATGACGTTAAAAATTTCCGGGCGAGATAGTGATAAAAAATCGGCAAAGGTCAAGTTTTATATTAAATTATTTTTACAAAAACAAAACTTGTAAATAACTTAAACAATATTTTTTGCAAAATAGTATGGCAGATTTCGATTCACAAGTATTCGTAAAGACTCGATTCACAACGGTGTCTGTGAATTAAACTACATCAACGTATCATAGTAGAGAATTGGTGATAACGCCAGATAGGCCACGAGCAGGTTTGATATAACACTACTTAAGATAACCTCCACGGGACGGTAACGCAGTTAGATAGTGTCTAATTTTGCTGAAGACTTGTGTTCACAGGATTATGTTACAATTACCAGCAGATTGTAAACAGTGGACATGTAATAAGTTTATTTGATTTTTTTTTTTATGTTCATTATGTTCAGTTCACTCGCTGCTGTGTTTACGGAATTAAGAAAGCCGGTAGTTAGGTTTCATGATAGATTTCCGCAATCAAAATATCGAGTTTGTTTTCTTGGTTACCCAAGTGATTTTTGTATAGTTTGATTCTGGACAGCACAAAATTCCATCGACCGATGGACAGCATCTTCTCACAATGTTAGGTTTGCAATCAAGGCAATGTTGATAATTAATTTGTGATACCGGGGGATTCTTTATACCATGGCAGTGCACTCGTCTACCCACCTTGCGGTCTCGGCTGGCTGTTCTGTCTGGCGATGTTCTGGTGGTTGTGGTAGTAGGGTGCGAGGAAGTGCGGAGAGTACAGTGAGCTGGGGGACTCCGCCGACCTCCAGCAGGGCGCCTGGGGCTGTGGCTGCAGACGGGCGCGCAACTCGTCGTTGGACGTGTGTCCGGAGCTGCTGCTGTCCACGTCGGAGACTCCGGAGTCCGCCGGGCTGGGAGGTAGTGAACCTGGGGACAACAGAGAGGTTACTTGGTGGGGGTGAAGTTATCTGTAGCTAGAGCGAGAGGGAGAAGTAGAAGACATGTTCTGGAAGAAAGAGAGGGATGGTAGAAAAACAAAAACTTGAGGAAGAAGGAAAAATTGACCCGAAAGAAAGAAAGGAAGAAGTATATAGAAGGTATGCTCTGGAAGGGAGGAAAACAAAATAGCGTCAAATAGAAGAGAGAAAAACGGACCAAAGGAAGTAACTTAACATAGAGTTCATTTTTTGTACCCAGTGGTTATAGCACGTTTAGTACCGAACCAAAGGAAGGAACATAGTTTTTTTGTACCCAGTGGTAATAGTAAGTTTGGTACATACGTAAGAGAAAGATAAGCACGAAAGAAACAAAAGTAAAATCTCCAGAACGCCAAGCGTAGGCCCTATGCAAATAGTTTCCACGAACTTGCATACGTTTTAGTTTACATAGTGGACACAGAAGTTGTGTGGGTTTCTCAAAGGAGATCTTCATTCAGAAACCCCCAAACAGATATATATAGGAAGAAATAAATGAACTTAGTACATATCCGCTATTGTCAAACAGCTCATCTAAAACGAACACAAAATTTAGAATTAAAAGTGTAGCGATAATATTACATAGGGGTAAAAGACGTATCGACTAGCCTGTTTACTAGCTCATAACCTCACAAAATGCAATTTTAAATTCTAACACGTTCAAAATAAAAGCTTTAAAGATGCAATAATTTAAAAAAGAGTAATGTTATAACATACAATATGCTCAAATTCGACGGTTTTGTAAGAGATTTCAGTTATTGTTCGCGACCACTTGTCAACCGAAATCCCCGAACAGGTCTGCGTGCGACAAGACACAATCGGCGGAAAGGAAGGATTTATCGTGGCATCCTTGAAATTATCAAAGGGCGAGTGGAAGATATAAGCGGATTAGGCGACGGAAGTAAACAGGAGGGAAGGGTAGGCCTAGACTGACCGTTGTCCACCAAGGCTCTACTAATGGCCAGCTATCTCACGGTGCCGGGCTACCTGACGAAACCACCGTCATAGATCAGACGGGAGGATTATGTGAATCCGTAGGGTGGGGAATAAGGTTTACGGGGAAGATTTAATATTTTTACAAACATAATGGTTAAGACGGGTATGTGTTCATTGATCTTGTCTGACGAGGTACGTCTCAACAGTTATTTGCAAGTTAAAAACTAACATCCTACAAACATGATTTTAAATAGCCTATCTATACTATTTTGCTATTTTTATTTTTATTTTTTTAATTGGCGTAAGGATCAACGATTACAGTCAAAGATCTACAGCTTAAAACAGCACATTCAAAGTTGTATAGTAAATATACTTTTTTATTTTGGCAACTAAATTTTAGGGGCACCTACTGTCAATACGATTTACGCAAAACACAAATCACATGACTATGTGTTCTGGGAAACTTTGTATGATTTATAATATGGAAGAAAACACAAATAAAAGGGAAAATTAAATGAATCAAGACAACAGACTAGGAATTGCTGTAAAATTAAGTTACGGTTATTACCATTTTTTTGTGGATTAGGAATCGCTTTGATATTTAATAGACACATCAGTAACAAGATCATATTATTTGTGCGTTTAATCAAAGAAATTCACCAATTTATCCACTTCCAACGATCTCCGTGACCAACAGGCATTCACCGCACGAGAACAAGTTTATCCAACACAAACATCTCCGCTTCCCTATTCCCACATAAACTAAACACCCTTAAGGAGCATAACCAATTTTTCGTCCGGCGTCCCCCAAGGTAGCGTTCTCGGGCCGCTATTTTTCGCGGCGCACAATGGACGTTCCCTTATGTAAATGACAGTAATGAGCCCGGCCAACAGGTTTGTGTCGGTGAGTGACGGACTCGTCAGTTCTCGCTGACCAGCGGCTATCACAACCCTCTAATGACCAAAACAACCCTTTGGGAAATTTTTCAACACCTAGGGACGCGCCGCATATTTCACCAGTCATATTTACCTTGGACGCATCGACAGCTTTATCACCAGAAACTAGTTGTAACGGTTTCTCGCACAAGGGGTGGAAATTATGGTTTTGGCCATTAATATTGCGGAGTTTCGACAACGATTGAAAGTGATATTCAACAAAAAAGTTTCGGAACATTTTGTGTAGACACATATTAGCTTTTTGTAATTACTAAAATTATTATTTTAATATCTTGAATTAATATTACTTGATACAATAGTTTTGTGAGTCCATTCCGTAGACGTTACGTGTTATAAACAGGCACAGGGCAGTAAAGTAAGGTCGTTTTCCGCGTTGTTCACAAATAATCTGTACGCTCTATCTCCCATGACAATCTTAGATGGTCTATTTGATCCACAAGGCAGAAATAGACGCAGTCAAGTCAAGTCGATCAACAAAACGTGATCTGTTCAAACGTTTTTATGTTCTAAACAACACATCTATAGATTTTCATGGAAAATATAAAATTGATAGTAATATATAACAGTAGTGGGTTAGTTTTGAATCACTGGTCCCAAAGACACGTTTCTAAGTCGGCAAAAAATAATCTTTGATTTAAACGGATCGTTTTTGTACCCAAGTCCTTTCAAAATTCTTCAAACTTCTTTCTTCACGTCCCACCCTTATGTGTTTGGAGTATTAAAGTCAATCGGTCGACAAAATGTGATTTTAAAATTTCAAATTATTGATATAGATAGTTCTGGATTACTTGTCCCAAAGACATTTTTGTATATTGTAAAGAATATAATTAGATTCAAAGAATAAGTGTCCCCAAGCTATGTTTGTGAATGATTTAAAAGGCTCATTTGTGTAAAAAGTCCCACCCCTTTGTCCGATTTCTCCCAAACTGTCCCGCTACCCTCACGTGGGATCCGAGAGATAATCTGCAACAAAGTCCCTCATTTCCCGGTAACGGATGCGGCCGTTAGATATCCAGAGATGCTCCCCTGGTCCAGGCGGACAACAGGAAGAGCCGTTGAAACAGGTCTGACCGGACAGCATCCCTACATCCCTACACCCTTCACAGCCACGTGTCCGCGACTGGAACCGGGAAGAGGAAGGATCGTTGGGTGAAATCGTGTGGAAACCCGAAGAGTTGAGAGTAGAATATAGGGAGCGGGTGGGATAACAGTACACACCTTTGGGGGTTACTAATGTAAAATATTGAGAAAAACTAGCAACTAACACTATGTGCCCCAGGTAACACATAATGACCCAATTCGATCAATGAATTTCCGAAAGTTCAACAAAGTACTCTGTTACAACTGTGTGATAGTTCTCCCTATGTTAATACATGTTAAGCCTTTGGTAATTTACAGGAACGTAGGAAAATCTCAGTGCAGTTAAACAGTGGGAAAACCTCTCACGCTTGTCATATGGCACTTAGTAGGAAGGAAAATTCGATTGCGTAACTAACAATCCTATTATTTTAATAAAGACAACGATTCTTATTGTGGGAAACCATACATTGTTGTCGCAACCATCGATATATACTACGATGGCCAGGTAGTTATATATCGATGGTCGCAACCGACAAAATCAAGAGGAGCTGATCGGGTTGCCACCGTTTGAATTATAAGTACATACACACATAAATGATAATTGAGGAAGTTACGGGAATATACATACAACATAATGGGACGAGGAAGTAAAGTTTGTCTCTAAGGAGGAAGTTTTGTCGTGAATAGTTCACTGTATTTCATGGAACATGATGTCACTATGCGAGAACAGTAATCATCTTTTCCCCTTACTGCTTCATCACATTATCACTAACATGTAATTCTTTCGTGTTTTAAAATTCATCAACTGTACATATTCGGGGTTCAATTCACTCTTTATTGTTTAATCAAAGTAATCTACCGTATATAAAGTAAATAGTAAAACTTCAAACAAATGAAAGAATTACGATATAGTGACGCATGTAAAAACACGTATTCCCTCAAATTGTAGATCAGAATCAGCTAAGTGATATTTAATAGCTTAACTGTCTGATTTTGAAATAATGTACAATTTTATGATTAATAAAACACTTTATGCACCTTTTTTAAACTTATAACATCATATTTATTTAGTTGTATTTGTAATTGTTCATAGAGTAGAAACGCCAACTTTATATAATATTTATTCGTTATTAAAGTCTTTGATACAATTATTATGTTTAGAGATTTATATTGTCATTATATTGTCAGTAGTCCACAATTATTTAGTTCATACTAATTACCACTCAAAAATATTTAATTTTCAATTAGCCTCGAAGGTCTTACATTTTTGTCGTTCTAATCTCCATTTGATAATGTTTCAATGTTTTCACTGGTAGTGTTATGGGTGTACAGTTATTTTGCTCATACCAATGACCACTCAATTGTTTTCTTGGCATCTGTAAACCTTAAGACATTACTTCCTTCTAACAAACCTTCCCACTTCCCAATTCGGAACTTAATTTATTATCTTCCCGATTTCCATATAGATTTATTTTTTCACCGGTCTTACAGGTCTTGTTTTGTTCACACCCCATTGTACTTGTAGAGAGTCCACTGTCCACTGTCCATCCCCTGGCATCGTCTAGGGTGGGCTAGACACAGGTTTGCCGGACACTGGCTAACTTCACTACCAGCTTGACCGGTACCGGCGAAACAAAGCCAGCCAGCAGCTAGCCAGTGGTCATCTTCTAGCTGACCTACCCCTAGCGTGGGACCTGACTACCCTAACTACAACCCTTCGACTATTTCCTAATTCCGTTAAACTATTATCTATCCTGTCCAGCCCTAATGAGCGACCAGTTCCTCTCTGACCGTTGGTCAACTTTGCCCCGGTCCTAGGATCGTCCTCTTGGGAATGGTCACGGATTGATACAGGTTGATCGGAAACGGACACTAGGTTAGGAAGTGACCAGTTGGAAATTAAACAGTTTTGAAGGAGTGCTAGTAGATATCCGTTGGTCAACTTTGCCCTGGTCCTAGGATGTTCCTCATGGGGATGGGCATGGCAGACAGGTTGAATTCGAAACGGACACTAGGTTATAAAGTGGCCAACCGAAAATACAGGATTTAAATGGAGTATAAAATATATTCGTTGGTCGACTTGGACCTGGATCTACTCTGGATCCTACTCTAGGTTAGGAAGTGACCAACTGAAAATAAGTGAAGTTGTTAAAAAAAACATTTTCAGGGTGAAGAAACATACTTGTCAACGCATAAACTTCACTGATTGAGGCAGTGGTTGTTCATTGAAAACAAAACAAAATAACTACGTTCCGAAGATTTACAGGTATAAGACATTTAGGTAGACCTTCAAGGTTAATATTAAACAACTATAGATTTTTGGGTTCAAAATCTAGGTATAATGATTTACGACAAATATTAATATTGCGACAAATATTGCGGTTAATACCTCGTTGTAACCACAGCAAGGAGGTCGTTATTTACTAATTTTAACGGTTGGTGTAGGATGACTAATTATATAAACATAATACTGTACAAGTGGTTTGTTTAAAAACCTTATAAATACCTATGTAGACTGAAGAATTGTTTCAAATGAATAGCGTTAAACAATTTTGAATGTTTTTTCAACGTCTTTTTAATCATTTCTGAAATTACATCTGAATTGACATAGTTTAGACATAGAATTGACATAAACCAAAAACAATAAACTTGTTGTTATCTACAAATACAGCAAGTAGGTTTTTAAATTTTATGAAACGATTCAGAAAAATCTCAAGAATAAAATAACAACATTTCCATACTGACCCTTCCCTTAACGGGATTGCAAAACCCATTTTCTATTCACACCAACCCTTGGTCCTTCACGGAAAACAACGGGTCGAATTTCGCGCCGAACGGAACACAAAATCGCAATTCACCCTTTGTAGCCGCACCGGGTGCTCATAAATATAATTCGAAATTGGACGTTTCGGGGTAAAAGCTGCAAGGGGTGAAGTTGCAAAGGGTTGGATCACAGGGGTGACACAATGGCAAAGGGTTTACGTATTTTTGGAAAACACCGCCAGCTGGGTGTTTACGCAACTGTGGCTCTGCACTTGCCGCTGCCCCAGCTGCCGTTTTGGAAGCGTGCCGAACGTGGGGGGGGGGGGGGCACGGGGGCAATCTTGGGGCGCGCAAAAAGTGGCAATAAAACACTGTATCGGTGTCACCGCGGTGGTGATTGCAGATATGGCTTCTATGGGGTTGTATGCGAGTTCCTGATAGGGGCTATTGTCAATTATTGTGTAAGTGCACCTTTCCGTGAAGATTGCGAGGGATTTATTTTCAAAATATTAAATACTATACAAGAAAATTGTATTTGTTCTAAATCCAATAATTACGTTTAAAGTGTACGATTTGACATTGCGAAAAATTGTCTTTTTTATTAATTGATTAATACTGATACGTCTCTAATTACGTATTTTAATATTAACAAAGTAAACATTTATTTTGATTTCTTTTTTGCTTGACAATCTTTTGAAAGTTTGATAGTGGATTCAGAATATTAAATAACCATAAATACTGAAAAGTGTTTAAGATTATTTGTTTGAATTATAATTGCACAAAATTATCTACAGAAAGTTAAAAATTTTCAAAGAATGTGTTAAAGTAAATAATTGTCTACGACTGACAGTTTGAATGATTTTTTTTTAAAAACAAACTATTGTACAACTATCAAACATCTTTCTGAGATTTTGTTCAAAGACAAAATAATAGGACTGCCAAAGAATTAAGTTTTGCGTTGGAAAAGCTTTTGCCGTTTTCGGAACTGGGTACAACTGTTCTTGAACACTAAGCTTAATAATAGTCTTGACTAAAACAAACAGCTGACATCAGTCAGAAACAAAACTATACCTACAAACGTTGCAATTCCACTAACGTCACTCATATTCAGGTGTTAAGAGTACAATACTCCAAAATTAGATGAACTTAAACCCCTTAGGCAAAAACGTATTTACCAAAACACAATTCAATCCCTTACTTAAACTCTTTACAAAACCCCAAAGATAAGAAGGCCCGGCTGTTTGTTTTGTCCAAACCACTTGTTTTGCCGAACACAACTAACTCGCATTTGAATAACAAAATGAGCATTTCGGGGCGGCCCGCGACAAGGGGCCGGGGAGCGGCTGCGGCGCGCACCCTTTTACGCAACCCTTGCACATTTTGGGGCGAAAGTGTTGAAAAACAGGGTAGCTTAGGTAAAGATGCCCAGGTGCATCCGCGAACAACGCATCTGTCCAATCTCCGCCCAGCTGCGCGTGTTGACTTTTTCTGGGCAAAAACGCAATTTCGATCAAATCTGAAAATCACATATCGCTTGCAAGTCGAGGTTTTTTGCCGATTTTTGCACCCATTAACCCAATTATTGGGGAGAATGACAATGAAGGGAGGATGCGCTTTGAATGAGGGAAATATATCGTAGCAAAAAATTATATTACAACACTATTTCACGAGTCTACCACGAGTCTACGGCATTTGAGAGAATTATATTGTCCATGCGAGAATTTACAAAACTTACAAACATTCGTCGTATTTCTAGTTACTACTGTATTAGAAACGTTACTGGGGTCGCTCAGTACATGATTGCACGATACCAGTGGTATTAATGTGGAATATATCAATTCATACTTTGTCATGCTGTGTTAAATAATAATATCTTTCTCGTTGCCTATACCATCTTTCGTGTAAATGTTGAATGAAGTCAGTGGAATAAATCCATTGCACTTTACCGTGCTGGGTTTAGTTCGCCATACATAGATTTTGAGGCGTTGAAAGGAAAGGAAAGGCAAAGGAAAGGTGTTCAAACCCATCATACTTTTGTGGATATTTCGGGAATCCAAACCCGCCACTCTTGCGCTAGGGTCGCCTTCAAGTCACGCTAGCCATACGATGAACACATCTCCACTATACCTACACATATAAACATATATATTTACCGGTATTTGAGTGGCTATAGTTGAGCAGAGCGGCGGCGGCGTGGTGACTGGACAATATACCGTGCAGTAACGCCTTGTGGTCACCACCGTCCCTTTCTCTCTTGATGTACAACGGGCCAGGGGTGGGCGGCGCCGTGTCCACTGCAACAGATAACAGACTGATAAGAAACGTGCTTCAAGGTCGGGTGTAACTGAGGTTGTGTTGGGACTGGGTGTCAATTGGATTAGGCTACAACAAACTATAGACATCCAAAAGTCTAAAAATTCCAGCCGACATCACATTCCAAATTTGTTTATAACAACTTTGAATACTAAAAACGTAGTATTTAGTGAAGATCCACAGCAAATGTTCCGATACAGTGGCTGCCCTTGTTTACATAGCGCGCACCAGGAAGATGTTATGGTAGTATGATAGTGTTTGTTGCGTGCGTGTGACGCGCGCCGTGTTTTCCCGCGCTGGCACGTCACTACATCAGCAGCCGCGCGTGTCAAGGTCGTCTGTTATCACCGGTGGCTGCGCCAGAGGTCACCGTGCTGTTGCTGGTCCGGGTGATATGACGCGGGTGTTCCGACTTTTTGCAACACTCAAGGAGTATTTGTTTTGGTTGGTGATCAAAAACGTTTATCATGAAAAACGTGTAATGAAAATGAAAATGAAAGCAGGGTTAATTATAATCGTTAAAAAAGGTTATTTTAACGCTGAAGAAATTTGTACAAAGGTTTGTTCCATATATCACCCTTTAGGGAGAAGGTTATTCCATTCTCATCTAAATTGTTCCTAAAGGATTGTTTGACACGAAAAATAACAGCGCTTCTATTTGATAACACTTTTACATTTATCTCCTACTGAGATGTAAATTTCCACCAATTATTAGACCCAAACACAATAATACAAAAGCTGTTTTTCAATTTCTCTTACATTTCACCTTATTGGAATGGGTACCGATCCTCACCTCTCTCTGTCTTCTTATAATGTTTGTGACAAATTATAACTATAGCAGGGGTTGGGTTTTGGACCGTTCCCTTAAAAAAAACTAAAAAAAAAATACATAACGAAGAGAAACACAACAAGGTCAAAAATTATCCCAGTGCTCCTCTTTTAACATCCCTTTCCCGACAAATTAGGTTGGCCTAAATCTGCATCAAATATTTTTTTTAGCTAACAGTACGGTCGGCCACGGCGCGGGCGGTTATGCCTTGCTGCGCTGGCGCTGCCCCGAGTGTCGAAATTCTTGACGGGAAATAAACGTGACCCATTTCCTCCTTCTGCCAACATCTGACGAAACTTGTGTACCAATTGTGGCTTTCCACATCCCGGCTGGTGTCGGGTTCGACTACAGTCGCATACTTGCAACTTAGGGGGAACCACCGCCACTTGGTCAACAAAATGCAACTGTAGACGCACATTGTGGAAATCGAAGGGGTCAAATTAAAAATTAATTTATAGATACTTTTTTAAGAATTTTCCGAAGCAATTATTTGTTGTATTGCATTTTTATTGAATCCTTTAAGTTTTGATTAAATTTCACCGATAGCGTTTTTTAAGGGCAAAACATTTTAAGATTAGATAAGGTAATCCCTACGCGTTTACGGCTTCAGTAATAAGAACAGTAAAATAATCAACCTTTCAATTTATTCCTATATTTTACTAATATTTCCCAGACTTTTAACACGTCAAATTGTGGCCCATTTGTCCATGTTGTTGTCGTATAGGCCAACTAAACAATGATGAAATGCTTTAAATGGAAATCAACTTGATTACTGCGTATAATAAAACAATCCACTCATATAGTAAATACTAATTAGTGTAGTTTTTATAATAAAGACATAAAGTGCTGTAATAACCCGTGTAATCGAGCAAGATCAAATAACAATAATTACACTCGATTATTAAACCATTTAGAAATAGTTAAAATTGTATTCACACTAACAAAGTAAAAAAACCATCTACACAACTAATTTTTTCTCGTAAGTTAATTTGTATCACAAGTTAAAGCGAACCTTATCAGCGAGCATACAACGGGGAAGCAGTAGTGATAAGAAGTTAGAATGAGGATGGCAGCGGGGGGAAGGGGGGGACGGCGAACTGTTATCAATGACCTTGGTGTTATCAATACACGTGGAGTGCGACATTCCGCACATCTGCGGCGACGTAAACAACAATTGAGTGTAGCCAATCAGCTGACTGCATTGTTGAGAATACTGTACTTCCAATTGAGGAAATCTCCGTCGCATCTCCTTGGGAGTTTCACTGTTTTGTAAAGGCAATTAACACTACACTAGATGGTTATGTAGAGTTTTGACTTCTCGTCAATTCCTTGCCAAAGTTATCCATGTTTGGGTTTTTATTTAGTTTCTGATCCATATAAAATAAAACGACGCATAGGGTAAGTTACAAGAAAAGAATGTTAAATGCCAATCTACCAAGAAAAATGAGCGTGGGCACCATTGAGTGACGGTATAGTCCAAAAGTATCGACAAACAAAACTAAAGTGTAATGATCTGATTTCAAATTCACCCTCTTCAGATGACATTTTCGTCATATCCACTGCTGTAATTACCCAACCCAAAGTGCTCCAGCGGTACGACGGTTGGTCGCGTTGGCGGGAAGACTCCCGGAAGTCGTCGGACCGGAAATGGTCACCCATTGTTGTCAGTCTCCCACGTCTTGATTGAGGACCACCTGTCCTTAAACAATTACAGAGACGCCCTTTCAGGAGACAGGCTCTCTACCTGCCACTGGAACTGGAACTCGAAAGGGACTCTGTGGACCACGCCAACGCCACGACTGTAGAGTCTTCTGTATGGGGTAGTGTACTACTGACTTAAACCTCAAAACCAGTAACCGATGCTGAAAGGATGTTGAAAATGTAGCAAACTCTTGGAGACAACATTATTAGGTAGGTTGGGCTCTCTTTCTCTCTTCTTCAATTTTATGTCATAAGTTTCTGTGAATGTTTTTGAACAAAATGTTTCTTTGGGAATTGTAGATACAAATCAAAACCGTCTAAATTGTTTTTTTTTTTTTTTATTATAGCCAAACGAAGTGCTGTGATAAAAATTGGTAGGAGAAAAGACGTAAACGATGCCTGTTTCCAAGACGCTTGTATCTCGGAATTTCTCACGTAAATATGATTTTCAAAATGTGATTTCCGGATTACTCGGCTGGAAAGACTGCCCCACTGCGCCACTCCACCGTGTAACGCTGTTTACGCCCCCGCCCGATGGAGCGGAGCGGACGGAAGATGAAGTAACAGAATGTAGGCCAGTTATATAAAGCGGGAGGAAGCAGGGAAAGTGGGGCTAGGCGGCGTTGCCAACGTTGCCACACTCTCCTTGACCTAGTGGAACTCCGCCGCCGCGACCCCGATATCCCCTCCACGGGAGTCTTCCCGTCACGGGGGTCTGGGGGATAGGAGGAACAAGGAAGAAACCCCCATTAAACTCATTTGTTTAGCCCTAGGAGAAGAGAATCAAGATAAAAGTTTCAATCGTCGAAGACTCTCGGAAATCCCGTTTGTCGATATACGAAAAGGTAAATTGTACGAAAGGAGGATATTAGGATGGAGCAAAAACAAAACTGGGGATGATGTTTTCACCACATGGAAAACCCGTCGTAATTGAGGAACCATCGGCGTTTAAATTGTTTGGATTAATTATTTAGGCCTAATCGATATTGCATGGGTAAAACGAATGGTGTGGCCCAAGTGCAAGTATTGCCACAAAATTAAAAGAACAAAAATATGTGATAAATATAACGAAAAATAAAATAATGCGTATCCGTCGTTGTGATAAACCAGAGGGTCGACCAAAAAATTATTAATATTTTACTACAGTTTTAAGTCTAGAGGGTCAGTTCAAACGATCTCTCGAACCCAATAAAATTTTAGAAGAATTAGTAAAACAATTTGATTTTTTTCGTAGTTGCAAATCACAACAGGAGAGGTCAATAGACTAGTTTACTAAAACTACAGAGTGAATCAGAACAATATCTACAACACTATCAAATTGTACCACGTTTATTATTACAAATTCGTAAATTGTTAAAACAACCCCTACAATTACTAAAATAAAACCACCGTTACACATCAGTCACACGTAAACCTCTTCGGATTCCCAGACGCATCCGATTACCGTCTTACCCCAGAAAGGAGAGAAGACAGGAAATCCAGGTGACAGTGAATAGTGAAATGCGGAGAAAGAGAATGAGGGGAGGGAGAGAGAGTGAAGAGAAGAAGTGTGCCGAAGAGAGTGTTGTCCTGGTTCTCACCAGTTTTCTACCTGTCTTCTTCTTACTCTCTGATCGCTTCCACTTCCGTTACCGGATGCCAGGGAAAGCGAGGAGAGTGGCCGTGGCCTTGCGGGAAACGGGACTTTACTACGGCGACGTGATTATGGTAACAGTGGCTCCGCTAGTATTATTGTACCGACGAGTGCTAGTGGAACGGGTAAATAAATTGTTAGGTTTGAAAAAAAACTGTTTAGACACATGGTAAACCTTGTATTTAGTGCAACATTTTGTTCTGAACATTTAGACAAAATGGATGAATAATAATTAACATGTAGAATAGAATGGTTGAATTAATTTCCTTTTAACTCAGAAAAACTACTTGGTAAGCCTAGTTTCACAATTAACTGAGGCAAGAGATTGTTGGTTAACTTAAAGCAATATAATTGTTAAATTCCTAGTTGGCTCTGTGGACTCAGGAAATAGGGGGGGGGGGCTACTGTAATGTAATTGTTGATTAAATCGGGAAAGTGAAATAGGAGGTGGATAAATTATTTTCTAAACTAGACCACAGAGAGTAGTATGTTTTCTGGGACTAGACTACATAATTGATGGATTCTTAAAGAGGGTTGTAAATGTAAAGACTAAGAAGGTAGAAAACCAGGACAGTTTTTAAATTATATTATAACGAATTTTTAATTATTAAGGTTGCTATTTACTTTCTAAGTTGTGTACGTTCGCAACCGCTTAAACAAAGTTGTTATTTCTTAAGAGACAGTTTTTTTTTACAAAATAGAATGAACAGTTGTTTTATTTGAGTAACGAAATTAGAACAATAAGGTTTTTTGTTTACAGCTATAAACTCTTTGGTGGGCTCCGAACCTCCAACAATACGAGAATTGTCCTTCTAAAC